CCTTATTCTGCCTGAACCACCTTCTAGTACAAACAACTGGACAAAATGCCTTGGCTGTGATACTGGGTGGTACTTAGCCTCATCGTTTGGTGTCTCTATTCATAACACTGTATTCAGTGACTTAAAATATTTACACATATCAGACTCCTCTCAAGAAGGGAGTCTTGTGACCCTTCTGGAGCTGCATGAAGCTGATCAGAGCTGGTTAAATGATTCACAGCTGCAAGTTCATTATTCTCCTTGTAAAGTTTCTTCAAAAGGAGAGATAGAAGAAACAGCTTTTCAGAGATGACAATAAAATATACTTTTCTTTTGGTATAGTAGCCTAATTTTAACACTTTGAACACTAAAGGGTTATTTTAATGTAGATGTAGGGCGCTCTGTATTTGGCATATTGCTTTTTTTTAGTAGGTGTGGAGCTGGAAATTGATGTAGCAACTTCAGTAACCAGGCTACCTGTCTGAGACTTTGCTATCATACTTCCAGCTTTGTTCAAAGAGACTAAAGAGGTCTTGCACGATCACGCTGCATGTATTGTTACAGAGCAGTTCCTTCAAACCAAATACGACTTCATTAACCAGTTTCAAAGTGTGACAGAGGTGTAGCTGCCTCAGTGGTGCACGTTTCCTACCCTATTTGCTTGGTGGCAGGTGCGGGAGAGAGTGAGGTCCCCAGCAAGGGGAAGGGGACCCATGAAATGGCTGAGGATCCTGGCAGGACCACTTGGGAGAAATGCACGAGAAATCGGGCTGTGCTTCCCCTCATGGAAGTGTTTATCGGAGAATAAAAATTAAATTCAAGTTAGATGTGCCAATCCATGTTCCTCTCTGGACTGAGGCACCTAGGTGATGAGGAGTGCTGCCAAGACCAACTATTTACTGCATGGAGCTGCAATGAAGTGCATGGGAATTAAATAGCATTTATATTCCGCACACATCTACCACTGACCCTGTATCTGGGTAATCATAGCTCTGCTTTTTGCAAAGGGCTTTTCATGCTGAAAGATGTCAAAACATGCAGACATAAGTTTTGGTCATGGTTTTGAGACTGTTAGGAGCAGCAGTCTATGCTTTCTTGTTAATCCTCTTGTAAGAGGAAGTATCTCCCTTTGAAAACTTAGAAGTTACACAAAACCCACAAGAGAGAAAGGGTCCTAAACCAGGTGTTTTATTTGGCTGTTATCAGCCCCCCAAAAATGTTGGTGAATCAAATCTTGTTATATTACAACCATATGGAAACTTTAACAGAGCTCATATTAAAGCAAGAGCATCCAGCAGAAAGTTGCATATAATGATGGCGAAGTTTGCCAGACTTTTACAAAAACGTAAGCTTTTGACAATCACCTCAAGGAAATAATACTTTTTTAAGGCAGCTCAACATTGCCCGACTGCAGATTCTTACTGAAGAAAGCACTGTTTGTGTAAGCATTAGCAGAGGGTGTGCAGTTAGGAAACGAATGTCAGTTTTCTATCTGGGAGCAAACTGTCCCTTAGAGAAACCTTACCAGGTGAGGGACATCTCTGCACACATGCTGCTGTCACACAGCCAGGCTGTGGATTTGACCTTGGGGTACACCGTGCATCCCTCCATGCAAAGGCTGAAGGAAGCCAGACCCAGCTTGCTGTCCTGCTAAAAAGATGAGTCGACTCGGTTTGTTTTATTTGTTCCAGAGTAATCAGTTCTAGCAGTTGTCTGGGAGTGTGGTGGGATATACATGCAAACTACATTATTTAATTTAATTGGGTTTTTCCAATGTAAAAAGAAGAACATTTGAATGAGAAGATGTTTCATTAAATTACTCACCTTCACAATGTTGTATTTGGGTTTGTGGTTTGTTTGTTTTTTTAACAAGAGACATCTTGTTTATAGAAACCCTCTAGACAGTTACATTATGGAAACACCATTTGCAGTGTTACAAATTTCAAGTTTTCCACACAGTAAAAACCCCAACTTAGTAGTAATATCAGGTTTATGCTGTTATTTACTGGTAACATAAAATGAAAGACTCAGATGCCTGCCTCCACCATGCCAGCTCCATTCAGATCTCCACTTACACTTCTTTATTAGCATAAACTAAACAAAGGCTCACACATAAAGCCCACAGGAGAAAGTCTGCTAAACACATTTCTTGTAGGTGAATCAGAGAAGATATTGGAGTCTTGGGTGCTTGTTCTCTGAAGAGAGTTTTCTAATTCGATTTCCTCCCCTAAGTGCATCCTTCTGCAGAGTAACTCCTGCAGACGTGGGGTAGGGAGAAGTGATAGCTGTTTGTAAGAGGGGAGCACTTACTTGAAGCACTAGCATTGGAAACGCCGGTGTGTTTTGCAGTATCTCAAGCCACGTGAGGTCTCTGTTCCTTGTCTAGTGTGCTTCTGTCCTCTCCCCTTCCCACAATTATCTTAGGAAGAAGCAAGATTCCTGCTACTCTCTCCTGAGCTTCACAGTTTCTTTTTTAGATGCAAATAACATTCTCAGGTCACACGTCAACATTTTTGTACCTATCAAAGCATCTTGATTTCCAAATTTAAATAGTCTTTCACTCAAGTTTGCAACTGTAGCAAACTGCCAGTCTTTGGGGGAAATGCCAAGCTGTAGAAGTGTAGTTAGTATTACTTTGCATAGGAAGGATGAAACTCATTTTCCTTTCACTGTCTTTTGAGGCTAAATCCTTTGCAATCACAAAGGCCAAGCCAGCACTGAATAGACAGAAATAAAGAAACTGATTATTCTTTCCGAGGAAGAGAAAAATGCAACTTTGGTGAATTTTCACAGCCATTGGTTTGAAGTTGGCCACATGATCCCACTTGATATTTCTCACTGCTGATCCAAACCCAGCTCTGAAATGCTGGGGCTGGCTCCCACTGTGCCCCATCAGACCAGCAGCTGCCTGCACCGGCTGTCCAGGCACTGCAGACCCGCTTGCCCGCGTGCCGAGGAATCTCAGCTATTTCATTACGTATGGGGAGCCACTGCTCAAAACAGGATAAACGCTGCTGAAAGCGCTCGGTCACCAAGAACAGCAGGAAGGCAAGTATCAGTATTTGAGGCAATTGCTGTGGCACATGATCAGATGTTCAGTTTTATTGAGCAGGGGAGTATATAAAGGTTTACAAATCAACTCTTTTATCTAGTGCCAACTTTTCCTCTCTCATGCCTTTTGGTTCTAAAAACTGCAGATTTTCCCAACATTTAGATTTACATTGCAGGTTCCACCTCAGGCAAAGCAGGGTGCTCTGTTCAGCAGCTGCCAAGCAGTTATTGCTGCTGCCCAGTGGGTTAACTCCAGGACAGACAGGCTGACACACCGGGCAAGGGCTGCCAGTCTGACAGTGAAGCCACCAAGGACACAGTTCTTGAGGACTGGTAAAAAATAAAATATTATTGCAACTGAAAATAATTTAGACTTTACTCTAAAGAAATTTCAATTAATAGTGTTAAAACACGGCAATATACAATTTTCTTAGGAAACATAATGATGTGAGACATTCTTGAGGGAAAGCCTAGAGACTATAATGAAGCCTGACATATATTAGCAGAACAGGTACCTACTACTGCCCAACACCCCTTGTCTCCATATACATCCTGGCAAGATTTTACCACCTCTGAGTGCTTGCATACAGTTTTTATGCTTAACCATTTTTCATGGAATAGGTAAAGAGCCATATTTGTGTAGCATATTTGTGTGGACCTACCAGCCCTTATGTGAGGCTGCCATCCATCCTTCCTCACACACGGAGCGAGAACCCCAGTTTGCTTGCCTACAGTGAGCCTGCGCTCCCAGTGCCAGAGAAACTGGTCACAGCCCAGTTCCCAGCCCTGGCCTGCCAGCTCACCATCCCTGATTTGGAAGGGGAGGGAGGGAGTTTGGTCTCCGAAATCCATCGGTCCCTGAGGGCCTCCTCCGAACGTACCCAACAGGCCGTTGTCACCCATCTTGGGGAGTTACCCTGAAGTCAACCAGCTTAACTTGCTGGGACCAGTGGACATGACTGTCACACTGTCAGACTCAAAATGGTGTCTCCACTGGTACAAGCTCCATAAAATTATTTTGACTGTCAACATTTTACTTCAGATTTAGTATCTCCTATGTAGATAATAGAAATACAACAAAAAAGAAATATGGTGGAAAGCACAAAAATGAAAAATTCCTCTGGAACCATTTCTATTTATTGGGTGTCTGGTGGTGTTTGGTGAGTGAGCATTAGTTTAGTCCTTAACAAAATGGCAGGTGGTATATGTTTAAGGAAGGGTTGGTTCCTCAGCTAGCTAGTGCTTGAGAATAAGCTCACTTGCATAATTTCTTGACCACAGACTGCAGTATAAGCGGTGTTTTATGGTGACTACTAGTAATCCTTACAGAACAAACAAGCCACTGAAAGAACACCTGTAAAAATGGAGTGAGTTTTTGCTGTCTTGCTTCTAAGCTGTGATTTTTGAGACGTTTCCCCCTCCACCAGCAGGCAGGGCTGTCTGCCATGTTGCAAGGAACACACCTGGGTCACACTGAGGCGGACGGGCAGAGCTGTGGTGTTTCTGTAACAGTAGAGTAAGTGGCTGAGATGTTGCAGGTATAAATTTGAGAATGGCTGTAAATGTTATTCATCTTGAACAAATGACAAATAAATAAAAAGAAAGAATCAATACAGTGTTTCTATATGCATAAACAGCCATCTGCTTTAAAACAGTGTGCATCGGTTGGCGTGTGTATAATCAGTGTAGGTTCCCCTTGTTTGCTTAGGCTTTGACAGATTTTGTGTGCTGTTAAAGAAGTCTCAATCTGTGCTGACTGTTCCAGCGAAAAATTCACTTGACACCCCTCATTCTGGAGCCCACATATGGGCAGTCCATTCCTGGAGACTTTTGAAAACCTGACTGGACATGGTCATGACCAACCCAGTTGAAAACTGGTGCTAGCTTGCTTTGGGCAGAAGGTTGGACTAGATGGTCTCCAGCAGTTCTTTCCAACTCAATTTTTCCCATGATTCTGCGATTACAACACAATGCTGCCTGGCCATCAGATGAAGGGTTTAGCTTTCTGCCACAATTGGCTGAACACTGGATATGTCTGTCTTCGCAGAGTTCCTCTGGGAAGATGCCCTTGCCTTCTGGCAGGGGCTGCCTCTTTTATAATGGCAGTTCTCAACCCAGGCGTGCCTGAAAGCGGGGGAGATGGACTGCAGAGCGTGACTCTGGGCTGCACTCCTTTGCCGGCACACACACAGCAAGGACTTCAACTCAGATCTGAAGTTCTCATTCAGCCAACAGTAAATGAAGGGATTGTAGCAAGTGCTGCTCATGGCAAACCAGTGAAAAGCAAAGTACAGAGCATTGCTACTGTGGATGGCCCTACAGGAGATCAACACCACATAGCAGTTCAGGGGGAACCAGCAGACTGCAAACACAATCACCACCACCATCAACATCTTCAGTGTCATCTTCTTTTTCCGTTGATGGGCATAGTATTGCTCCATGGTGAGGTCCCCGATGGCATTTCTCAGCCAGAGCTTCTTGGCCACCATGGTATATGTGATGGAGATCACAAGCAAAGGCAGGACATACAAGAGAACAAAAGTAGTCAAGTCCAAATACTTCCAGAAAAGATCAGCAGGAGGAGGGAAGCTGGGGAGGCAGACCATTCGTATTGTTCTGTTTCTGAAGATCATAGAGAGAAAGAACTGTCAATTCCACTACCAGATGCACACAACACCCGGAGGACAAATATCTCAGACGTTTTTACAGGTTTCAGTAAAGGTGGTATAGATAGCAGAACTCATTCAGTAACATAGGCAAGTGCCACTTTGAATGGAAAATTTTGCTTTAAGTTTGACCTTTGGCCCCAGTGAAGATACTGTAAACACATCACCAGGAAAAGAAAAAAATAATCCATATTGACATCTGTGCCCTCTAATGATGAAGAGCACCTTTCTTCTGTGCCTTCCTCAAATTACAGGGCTGAATCTCTCAGCCAAAATCAACCAACAAACAAGCCTGAAAGCAATTCCACTGATTTTCATTGTCCTTTCGTGAGTAACACACCAGCTAGCCAAAGAGAAGGAAGACTTCTCTGTTTCACCATACTTCCTTTTCTAATAACACATATGGAGAGATGTGCGCCTTAGAATCTGTGGGGCTTTGATTAAGCTGCATATGTCATATATAAAAAAAGCACCATGTAAATATCTTACCCAATATAAAATCTTGTCAAAGTCTGATAAATGGCATGAGGCAATGAGAAGCAGCTGGCCATAACCCAGATGATAATGATGCAAATCCCTCCTTTCACCATGGACATGCGTGGCTTGAGAGGGTGCATGATAACCTGCAGAGAACAAGCAATCGTGATGATTTAAAATGTCTTCAGTTGATAAAAACAAGCTGCAAGCTTTAGAAAAAAAAGTGCATCTTTGCTTTATCCATGTCCAGGAGCAAGCATTTCATGCTGATCACTGAGTAAGAAGCAAACAGCATGCATGCTTTCCAGTACAGCAAGGAATGCTCAGCATAGACATTAAGTGTGGCACAAGTTGAAAGCCAAGGTACTGCTCTGGCTTGTACTATAGGGAGTGTAAAAAGTCTCCTAATTACTAGAGACAAGGTCTCCAATACAGATGGCAACCACAGGGCTCACAACATTTGGCATTTGGTGGATTCGCAAGACAGGGTGACAAGATGCTTGAGAAACACGGTTGAATGTAATCCTTGGCCAACATAGCATGAACAAACTTGAAGGCTGATCTCTTTTATATTCAGTTTACCCTATGCAGTACTGGCTATAGCATGGTGTACTCCATGTGTTTGCTGCTAAGGCTACTTTATCTGACAACACCTTGGTCACTCTTTGAGCCTCACATTGCAGTTCGAAGCGCTGCAGCAGCTCTGCATCCCTCCAGTGTTAAAAGGCAGAAAGGAGAGACTCATTTTACAGGACTTCAGAGAGTAAAAGGGCTGGAAAATGCAAGGAGTTATGCAAGTATTAAGTGTTACTGCTGGCCCAGTGCCCTGAGCAGAGAAACACACTCAGTGTCACTCATCAGCTTGACTTCAGAGATCATGATGGTTAGATATCTGTTGAGCTACATGCACTATGGATGATTATATTAGGCAATGAAAAATAACTAAATATAGACCTATCGTGTCATCCAAATGATCTCTTGGCTGGTGAAGTCTTTGGTATTTTTTGCATATCTTTTCTAGTGTCATTATAAATATCTACTTAATCAAGCTTCTACAACTCCCCTGGAGATTTGTCTACTCTGGTACCTCTCAGGACTAGCAATATTTTGAAAGGCAAGTGTTGATTTCTTTTTGCTTAGTGGCATGTCCTTATTTCTGTTTTTATCTCCTTGGGCCATATTAGCTAATCCCAGTTCTGAGGAACCTACTCCACTGCATTTAAAGGCAGGTATTGCGTTTGCCCTTAATTAAACAAACACTTCTTGATACCTAGCCATGCCTTGCAATCAACCCAGAATCTACTGATTAAAATGAATCATTATCAAAATACTTTGCTTTCAGGAGTTGCAATGTTGCACATAGAATGGGCAGACTACCAAAGTTTTTGTGGTAAAAAAGACAGAAATGGATATCTATACTCTGGCAGTCACTGTAATTTTCTGACACCAGATGGGGCACATCCCAAACAATCAGAGTGGAATGAATTATTGTTCTGAACTTCATCTAGCTGTGTCATTTATCATGTGAAATTGCTTTTCAGTAACAACCATTTCAGTGACTCCAGCACTGCAAGAAAAATACAGTCTGCCTGAGAGCGTACCTTGCAGGACCTGTTCTCCCAGTGCACAGCATTTATCAGCTTAAGCAAAAATTACAAAATGTATTATACTTCAAGGAAACCCTTCGGTTTGCACTCATTGCTTGACCTGTAAGGTTTTCCTAGTTGATATGTGCCAGAAAGTATTGGGGCAGGGGTAGGAGAGGAGAATTTCTCACCTTGAACTGAATGTGCTAACATAGTTCTCACTGCTTCCAGTCTTAGGCATCCCAAAATAATGGGACAAGCCTAAAAACTGTAAGACTCTTCATAAATATGTGCTGAGATAATGCATTGGCTTGCTGGCATTTGAACTTCAGAATATATTCCTGCCTTGCTTTCAGGGCTGTACTCCGCAGAGCAGCTGAGGTGGGCAGGGGCCCCTGGAGATCATCTAGGTCAACGCAAAGCAGGGTCAGCTAGAGCAGCCTGCCCAGGACTGTTTCTGGTTGGGTTTTGAATATCTCCAAGGGCAGAAACTCCACAACCATTCTGGGCAGCGATTCCAGTGTTTGATCACCCTCACTGTAAAAAAACATGGGGTTTTTTGGCCACTGCCATGAAAACTAGAGTTCTCCCCTCCATTCCTTGATTCCCAAGACAATGCAAGTTTCCAGGTAATGGGATTTGAAAGGGAGGAAACTACTTATTTAGTGCCTTATTTTCTAGCAAACATAGGGGTGATGTACATCACATACCTGATGCCGATCCAGAGCGATGGCAGCAAGGGTCAGCACAGACACATGAACGGAGCAGTACTGAACAAACCGGCTTATATGACACATCAGCTTTCCAAAAACCCAGGTACTGCTTACAAACCGCACCTGAAGAACAGACAAAATTGGATTAAAAAGTGTGCATTATCTGAAGAGTAGCAAATAGGCTTCACAGGAATATGGTAAGGAAGAAATTATTTAATATAGTTTCCTTATGCTTTGTAGATGCATTATACTCAGTTTTTTCTGGGGAAACAGTGACTATGCAAGAGAATCTGAAACAGAGGTGGGGTTTATTAGGCTGCGCAAACAAATCCGCTTGAGTAGTGCTCCGTGTGTGTGCATGTGGACACGTAACATGGCCCCTCTGAAAAAAGTAAAGAAATCTTAGCTCAACTCCTTGATGAGGCTCTGCAGGGAAAAACAGTATCTTGCCTTCTTAAAAACAGTTGCACATTTGAATTTGTGGATGCTGAAAGTTGCATGGGTTCAAAACTTAGTGAGATAAATTCATGGAAGAAAAAATCATTGAGGGCATTGAAATAGCAAGGTAACACTTCTGAATTAGGGACTGCCTGTCTGTGGAGCATACCTGCCTACCTGCCCTGTGTCTATACTCTTCCTGGAGTCTGCAGCTACCAGCTGCACTCAAAAGCAGGACATGAAGCTGGGTGGCAGGGTCTTGCTTGCGCACTGGTCTCTAAGCCAAACTCTCCTCTTACCACGTTGTGTGAGATGCATCAACAGCAATTTCAGAGGCGTCAGTTAAGGTATACAAACAGAGAGGAAAATTTTACCCTCCAGTTGAAAAAGCAACTCACACTTCACCAGCTGCATTGCCTTCCTCATTGATCTGACCTCTGCAGGTATGGGAGCCATCTCCACCTGGGCATGAATCCAGCCGCTCTTGGGAGGGGAGGGAGGGAGGGGGAGTTTAAAGCCTCCCTGAGACTACAGTGGCAAGGGCAGCATGGCATTTCTTATGAGTTCCCAGGGAGGTGTTACTTAGTGTGGCTTTTCTGCAGAGGAGATTATTCCAAATAATGGTTGTTGTCTCACTCCCTTGTTATTCCTGACTGCGCAATATTTATTACAAATTAACGTAACTCATTCTGGAAGCAGATTAAGCTAATTTGAAATAGAGCGCATTTACTACAAAACATCTGTCCACACAGAAAATTAGTCAAGACTAGCTAATGGTTTTCAATTAATCTAATTAATTTCCCTATAGAGACAACTCTAGTAGTAATGACTCTGTCACTGAATGTGTAGCAATGTGCTGTTTTTCTTTGAAGTTAATGCAAAGCTCTTTCCTAAGAGAGATTACAATTATTTAATTACTCGTGCCTAATGTGTGACTGTTGCTGTGCAAACACACAAGAGGGCATTATCCTTTCCCTGAACAGATTACAGGATGCAAATCATAGAATCACAGAACGGTTTGGGTTGGAAGGGACCTTGAAGATCATCTAGTTCCAGCCCCCCTGCTATGGGCAGGGACATCTTCTACCAGACCAGGTTGCTCCAAGCCCCATCCAACCTGGCCTTGAACACTTCCAGGGCATCCATAGTTTCTCCGGGCAACGTGTTCCAGTGCCTCACCACCCTCACTGTAAACAACTTCTTCCCTACATCTAATCTAAATCTACCCACATTCATTTTAAAGTCATTACCCCTTGTCCAATCACTGCATGCCCTTGTAAAAAGTCCCTCTCTAGCTTTCCTGTAGGGCCCTGTTAGGTACTGGGGGGCTGCTATAAGGTCAGCCTGGAGCCTTCTCTTCTCCAGGCTGAACAACCCCAGCTCTCTCAGCCTGTCCTCATAAGAAAGGTGCTCCAGCCCTCTGATCATCTCGGTGGCCTTCCTCTGGACTCACTCTAACAGGTCCATGTCCTTCTTGTGCTGGGTGCCACAAAGCTGGATGCTGTACTCCAGATGGGGGCTCATGGAGCAGAGCAGAGGAGGAGAATCACCTCCCTCAACCTGCTGGTTACACTTCTTCAGATGCAGCCCAGGGTATGGTTGGCTTTCTGGGCTGCAAACACACATTGCCAGGTCATGTTGAGCTTCTCATCAACCAGCACCCCCAAGTCCTTCTCCTCAGGGCTGCTCTCAATCCATTCTCCACCCATCAGAGCAAGACAGAGAAATCCCACCAAAGAAACAGGACCAATTTAAGAAAGGGTGAATCCAAACCGATAATTCAGGGACTGCTTTTGGAAGGCAGAAGAACACTATGGACAGCTCTGGGCAAGGATTGAAGCAGGAGTATTTGAGATGCTTTCGAACCAGAGGGCTGTGTCAAATTCAGCTATACAGAGAGTCCTACTTACACGTTGTTATAGATTGTGACAGTGGAGCAAGAAATGAATCCATTTAATTCTTCCCACCTCATTCTTTTAATATTTTTTTATGTCTTATATTATTTAGTAACTGAAAATAAACAAAGGACAATCAGCCCCAAGAAGCACAGTTTGTAGTGCCCAAGTAAGAGCCATGCCAAGCTGACACAGCTCAGCACAGACCTAGCAGTCTCCCTTGCAATCATCTTCACAAGGACTGACCTTGTTTGCATCATTTCCATAAGAAATTGGCAGTTAATTGAACTTTCTAGTGTCAAACTTGTCCCCGCTTCCTCCCCCATCAAAAGACAAATAGCGCTTCGACATCTGAGCCTTGCCACTGTCCTGGAAGAGGGAGGAAAGCTGCAGAGGAGCGTCGCCTCCCAACCGGATCGCGAGGTGGGGGCACAAGTGCCCCGGCTCTGCTCACCGAGCCCTGCCTGCCTGCGAGGGGGTGTTGGGGAGAGGGGGGGCACGACTGCATCTTGTCCAGGAGGCAGAAGAAGCCAGGGGGCGGGGAGGCAAAAAGAAACTCTGCATATTAGCCTGTTACTGGCCATTCAATACACGTGTACACAGCTGACAGGCACAGACAGACACCAGCAAAACACAGACAAGCCAGATGCTCACCAGCGTGAAGGGGGTGTTCAAAATGGTGATCATCATATCGGCAATGGCCAGGTTGACGATGAAGAGACTGGTGGCGGAGTGCATCCTTTTGTTCTTGATCACCACATGGCACACCAGGATGTTGCCGAAGAGCGAGATGCAGATGATCACAGAGTAGGCTACTATTAGCAGCGCCTTCACCGTCCGGCTCTGGGACTCGCCCTCATACTTGGTCCCGCTGTCAAAGTCCCCCAGGTCCTCCAGGTCCAAACCACTGTGGAAGAAGGATTGGTTAGGGAAGCCATACAGTGCAGAGAAGAAGTTGGTCGTGTTGTGATTCTCCGCTCTCCAGAAGGGCTTGGAGATGTACTGCAAAGGGAACCACGTGTGCCTGCTCATGGCTCGGGAAGCAAAGCTCCAGCGCTGCCCGTTTCCCTGGGCAGGCTGCATGTTCCTCTCTGCCCTCCTTGGCAGCTCAGGTGCTAAAGTCAGTGGTTGCAGGAGGGAACATGTGCTTGTATTTTAAAAATCTGCCCCGTGGTTGCAAACTACTTACAAAAGTTGATAAATGGGTCCTTCTTCCTGTGTTGATTACCTGTGAGCTTTGCTCCAGGGACTCTCCAGCTGCTGTCCTTTTTCAATCCCGCATGTCTTACATACAGAAGCTGATTCAGATGCTGAAATATCAGAGATCCCCAAACACTTTCTCTCTGCACTTAGGAAGAAATGCTAGTGAATATTTCCTTTTGGGCACTGCTCTGCTTCTCTCCTGCAACTTCTCCTTCGAAATCTGCTTTATTGGTTTTCCACATAGTCCTTCATCCATCAGGTCTCTGTTTCCCAAGAGTTTTCAGAGCTTCTCAGAATCAAAAAAGCAAGGGCTGCCTTTCCCTTTTCATTCTCAAAGTACCTCTGAGCTATACACTGAAGCAGCTTTGCTCAGAGGCTGAGTGGTCCCTGCTTTCCCTGTGATATATACAGCCTGCCAGATGACACACCGCCTAGCAAATAGCCAATAGCGTATCTCTTCCTAGTTTATCCTGAGGTGTATTGCAACCCCACACATAGACGGTGTGAGAGTCTGACGCGCAGATCTAGCAAAGCAGCAAAATACAGAGAGAGTGGATGTGCCATGATCTTCCCTGTCTCCTCTCTCCTCTTCCTCCCAGCGCAACAGCTACATGGGGTGAAGCATCTAATTGGCAGCATCTTTCTTTCTCTCTGTTCCAGAGTTTTAGTAGACAGAGAACATCCGAGGATTTCTGCCTCCAGAGAGCTCCCAGCTTTGTGCCTGGCACCATCCCCTTCTTGCTCTCCCATGTTTTGGAGGACAGTGTAAAACATGAAACGCAACCTGAAAACAAGAACAGAAGTTTCAGGGTGCTGCTGGGTGTCCAGGGAGACTCCTGCCATAGCCTCGTCTTCTGTGCACTGAGCCAGGAGTGGGGGAGAGCAGCAGTAGAGAGCAGCAACATGGGTGGGAATCCCTTCTCTTCTCCTTCCCTTCCTTTGCAGACACAGTCATTTGCAGAGCAGCCTCTGGCTCCAAGCTCAGAAACTCAGATGCAAAGAGCCTTTCTGTGCTGCCTTCCTGCAGCAGGCTCCCACACCCTGGGGTGGGGGGAGCCAGGCAGCACGGAGCTGCGGGGCAGGCAGAAGGGGCTGAGCAGGGAACAGGCAGGTTTGCATTTGGGCTGCTCAGTCTTGCACCTTAATTTAAGCTAATTTTAAAGAAATGGCTTCTAAAGACATGATTCGTCTTCATTACTGGGCAGTACTTAATGATGAGCCAAATCATGATAGTAATGGTATCTGTCTCCCCAGGCTGTGTTACCACAGTTTTAGTAGGTATACACATTAAAATGCTTGTCCCTGTCTGCTCCCATGAAGATGTGAAGAAAATGCTTTCATTACCAGAGTATTGAGCTTGCAAAGCTGAATAAAATTGTCCCTACAGGTCCCTACAGATTACTATATTTCATATTTATGAGGTATGAGAAGACCTCATAAGAGGGCATAATAGAAATACCAAGAATACAAGGCCATTACATTAAACATTTTCCTAATGCAAAAGTTCCTATCACGCTCCTAAGGTACATTTTCAGCTTCTTGTCTGTGTCTCTGTCTGTCCTTCTCCGAGCTCCGTTGCTGGTGCCGAGCATGGGCCAGCAGGGAAAGGTTGTGAGAGCTGCTCAAGAGGAAGCTGCTGCTCAGAACTGCTCCCACTTTTGAGCCATTTCTGCTTCGGAACACACAACGGAGATCCACAGAGCAACCCACAGAGAAACCGGCTGTGCCTCCAAGAGCATCCTCTGTCCTCCCAGGCCAGGGTCCCCAGGGGACCATGCTGCAGAGAGGTGGGACCGCACAGATTATAGCAAAACCTAAAACAAGGTCTTCTGGTGCAATAATGAGATTTCTGGCTTGAAAAAGAAAATGGCTCCTCTTTGCCATTCAGAGTTGAAAACAGCTGGAGTAGATGTGAAGATTCAGTGCTTGAGCCTTGTCCAGAGGGAGAAAATTCAACAGCTATAATTCCCAAGTCTAAATGTGGAAAAGTTCCTTCAATGTGCCTGTTGCATCCGGCAGTCTTTTGAAAGATTCCTGTTCCCTAAGCAGCTAAGTTTACACTTTTCTGTTTTAAATACAGGTTTGGTAAATAACAGAAACAATGAGAGCTATATATCAACACCTAGATTTTTTTCTTTCACTCAAAAGGTGTGTTGTAAATAAGTTTGGACAGTCCTTGAAATCCATATTTGGGAATTTTTTCTTTTTTTATATTTGTTTTAATGCACTGAGGACACTATATTCCTCTTCATTTGCAATGACTAGTACAGCTTATGTGACTCAGAAAACGTAGGATGAACAGGCACAGAAATCTTGCAGGACATTTCATGGACTTGATAATAAGACTTAATAAATAAACCATGTTTAGTGATAATGGAGTGACTACCCCAGTAATGAATTAAATAAAATAGCTCTGTAATTTGGACAGATGCTAACCATTCAAAATCACAACTATATTTAACTTAGGGGCTGTTGACTGTGCAGAACAGCTTAATGTCATGGCAATAGCAAAGCCTACAGTAGACTGCATCTGAAGACAGGGAAAGGCAGGCAAGCTCTGGGATGTCTGGACCTGCTGAGCAGCAGCGTCCTGCTGTAGTGCCCGGTGTGCGGAGGGCCAGGAGGGACCACAGCCTGCTGAGAGCCTGCACCATGCCTCGCCTCTGCTCACCCAGCCCAGTCCCACCGGCATTGCCGTAGCTGCAACCACAGGTGGAAGCAACACTCCAAACTGCATTTCCTTTAAAAGGCGTTCAGAGGCCTTTTACACCGTGACGGTGTTCTGGGGCGTAAGGACACCAAGTGCTCTGGGGGATGCTTTTCTATGCAGGTACGCCAAGGTTTGGCTTCTGGGGAGGAAAAGATCTGCTCAGCTCGCATCACTTGGTAACACGAGTTTTACCTGCCTGTTCCTTCATCCCCACTAACATTATTCACCATAGGCTTTCTCTTACATTCCCCTCTCAATATGTGAGAGCCATTGCAGATATAATCATAATCCAGCTTTTACAAAATGTTTTAATTTACTGAGGGCACGCTTTTAGGCAAAATCATAAAATTTGCCAGTCTGAAATAATAACAGCTGCTAACTTTAAATTAGAAGCATTCCCTGACAACTAATTCCTTCTATATCTGCTTGATGGCAATAAAATTGATGGGTGTGTTTGGTGCAGATAAGGTTTATTTAGGGAGTCTAAAAAGTCTGCAGTTTGATCTTCACATTGCAAACACTTAAATCATTCAGTGCAGCTGCAAAATGGGAGCCCCTTCTGCTAAGTGCAGCACCCCATATTGCTTGTCAAAGTGATTCAATTCAGACCCAGGCAGGATCCCTGCAGGTGTGACCTGCAAACAATCACGCATCCTCCCTGATGTCTGCCAATCTGTCTCAGCATCCAATTAATGCTGTGTTCCATGATGTGAACACTGAACTAAAGCTCTTCAATCATTGAGCATCAGCCGAGGGAGCTGCTGGCAATGTCTCTGGCTTTCAGGACTACAGACAGGCAATCTGGAGCTGGGGGCCTTGGAGAGGATGGGATCTGACCCGCAGAGCCACATCCTCTCCAGGCAGAGGAACACTGCTCTGGAGAAGGGCAGCCTAATAAGCAGCATCAGAAAATCTGATGGAGAGGTGCTTTCGAGAAGCAAAAGGGTACTAACTACAGAGGAGAAAGGAGAGTGTGGAGCTTCAGGGCTGCTGTTGTCTGTGGTTACATGCCATTACCCACTGCCAGGGTTACTTCCAGCACTGTCAAGGACCTGCTCAGAATCAAATATGTGTCACAGCATGAACAAATTTGTTCTCCATCTCAGCAATCTGCAGTATAGTGGCTTTTGGTAGGCAAGGCCCTACAGTATTTCTTCTTTGTTTCAGGTTCTTTCAGCCCCCACTCTCAGAGTGAAAGGTGTGTTTTAGTCATTGTTTTTACTAATTCTCCCTCAAATACACCGAAATAAATGGCTACAGTTCTGTCCTCCCACTCCCCTTTTCATGCTCGTGTCCTCAGGGTCACTCTGCTGCCTTCAGCATGACCCAGGCACAACACGAGAAGTTCATATGCAGGGACAGTCCATCAGTATCGGCCTACGAGTCAAAGTTCGGACATCTGCAAAATTGAGGAAAATTGTTTATGACAGTTGAGCCGTTTGGGCCTCCAGTTCTGAGAGAGTTAGGAGGAAGTTAAGCCCTGTATCTCTCCTAGTAACCTGCTCTTCCTACTATGGGATCCTTGAACAGGATAAGCCAAATCATAGTTCACTATCTGAGTGCACAAACTCCTTTCCTGAAATCCTTATGCCCGTTTACACCCTCTGGGAGACCCAGTAAACCACTTAGGAAAATGACCCTCCAAGGTGGGGACTTATTTCAGGACACCCTTATCCAAGAACTCGCGCCAATTCACTGCAAATCTGCTGCAGAACTTTCTTCCCAGCTAATGGGACGATGGATGAATTTCTTTGCACTACCTTTACATGCACTTGAAATTGTCAGTTCCTTCTATTACCAGACTTGTCAATGGTTTTAGATGAGGAAGAATCAATCCACCATTAAGAGGACATGTTATATGGAACAAGCTCTGAAGGAAAAGTAAACCTATTCCAGCCAATTATCTTGAATTGAAACGGGATTTGCAAACAACAAGCTGAGCGGAGCCGGGCATTATGCCCTCACTCGCACCCAGCTGAACATGCTCACACTGAGCTCCCAGAAACGATGAAGCGCTCCTTTCATATTCGTTTGCATCTGCTCTCCCACCAGGTTTTGCCTCCACATTGCTAAGACTTGCAACGCATAAAGCTCTGAATGCTCCTAATTGTGCCCAAGAGC